TACCCACGAATAATATTATATAATCACAACAAAATAACTAGGTTTTTTAATATGTAATTTCGTCCAAATTTGAAAATAAAATGACTATAAAAATAAACTGTAATTGTATATGTTTTATATTTTTCGGTAAGAGAATTAACTACTTACGTGGAATCTTGTTTTAGATTTTCAATCCTTAGCTATAAAAACTGAACATTTTATAATTTATTAATTACGATGATTAATAATTTTCGAGATTCTGTCAAAATTCGATGTTTAAATGTTTATAAAAAAAAATTGTGCCTATGTATTTTTAATATTTTTCAACTGATATTGTAACAATATATCAGGAGCCTTGTAATAAATTTTTACACTTTTTGGCCCAACAGATAAAACTTTATTGATATTCATAGAAAAAAAACTAAAAAAATTGAAAAATGAAAATATAAGTAAACAGTTCAAAAAGAGTCAAAATATTTTCAAAATTGTATGGTGTATAGGAAATGCTAATTTAAACATTCAGTAAAATTTTCATGTATCTACAGTTATTCGTTTTTAAATTACAACAAAATAAGGAAATCGCTACATGAGAAATCGAGTGAATATCCAATGTTGTAAAAATTTGAATTTAAAACGCTCATAAAAATTTAATTTGACTGTCCGGTAGACATTTTTTTTTTTAATAAAGGTAGATAATCTTATAAGGAATCTTGTATTACATTTTAAAATCTAAGATTTAAAAAGAAAAATTTTTACGAATTCTTAACTCAAAATAATTTGCTAATTTTCGTGATTTTTCCATATTTTGTCAATTTTTGAACCTTAAATGCTTATAAAAAAAACTGTGACTAACGATTTTTAATATTTTTCATCTGCCTTTGAAACAATATACTATAGGAGCCTTCTATTAAATTTTAAAGTTTTTTTAACCAACAAATAAAATTTTATTGATATTTCTAGAAAAAAACTAAAAAAAAATGAAAAATGAAAATGTCCCTAAACAGTTCAAAATAAATCAAAATATTTTGAAAATGTCGATTTTGCGTAAAAATTCCAGTTTTTCCTTAATTTTTCTTTTGTTGTTCTTGGCGCTTTTGAAAAGTATTTTGAATTTTAAATTTTGACCTCCCCAATGCACCAACGATATTCACTTTCCAATCGAACAAGATACTGAAGTCGAAAATCGAAGCATTATTTCGACTACTTATCGTGTACACAGGTCACAGACACAAAAATAAATAAAAAAAAAAAACACACATCATTGTAAAATCAATACATTCATCGTTTCACTCAGAATCTAAAGAGTAATAATAGGTAATCCAAGATATTAAATATTATATTAATTAATAAATAATAATTTCTAATAATAGTTATTATAATTTATATTGAATATCCACAGAAATTCAGAGAATATTAATAATATTACACCAATACGAATACCATTGATTATAAATACTATTATTTTTACGAGTATCATATTATTCATATTATTATTAATACGCAAGTATAGGTACCTACCTATATATTTAATTTATTATTATTGTATTTTTTAATATAATATTATAATTAATAATTATTGAAAATATTTACGGTATTTAGTCAAATCCAAGTATAAAATATTAGATTTTAAATTAATTCATACTTAATGAAAGACGAGAGTTGTCCTGTCATCGTAATATCATCGTATGACGTACTCATAGATATTATAAGACTAATAATGGGTTACTACGGAAGTATTACCTTGAAAACTTGAATGTTTAAACTGTTTAAAGGTCCAAAGTGAAATAATTATTTAGCTAATTGCTTGTAGGAACAATGACTAAAATAATATCAAAAACAATCAATTTGTAGATATTTGCCGGGACGACTGATAAAATATTTTGTCGAATTGTCGCGTGCCGCGTGGAATAAATTGTTTTCTTCAATAATTGTATTATTCTATGGTATCTATAGACTATAAGCTACGGTGAACGGTCATGATATAGGTAGGTACGTCATAAATAAATAATAAAATTAAACATAATAATTAATAAATATTCAATAAATAAAATTATATAATAATTTCATACATCGACATTTTTACAAAAAAATCGTTGTCGCCCAGTAGGTAATTAAATATAATATATAATCCACCAGGCGACAAAAAGTTTCCTCTGGGTGACATTTCTGTCGCCCAGTATATAAGCTAAAATATCCACTGCAATAAAAGTTATTTGCTTCTAAACATTTCGGTTTTTGTTTTGAAGTTATACTTCTTTACGCAGGGTAGTGAGGAAAAAAAAAGCGAACGGGCGGCGCGAAAGCGTACATGTCCGTAAATAAATAAATATTGTCATGGTAGTGTTGTTATATATTATATAGTATATAATATAACAACATATATATATTATAATCGGGCCACGTCAATATGACATAATAATAATATTACGTATTATAAAATATATAATGTTGGTCGGTCGTCACTCGTCGGTGACAGCAACAGATATTTCTGTGGTGACAGCCGATGAGGTTTCGACGACGATGATAATAATAATACCATACACGCGCAGTTGTGACTCGTGATTAATGGTCAAGGTCGTGCGGCGAGACGGTTTTTCGATTGGCGGGTGGGTGGAAGTGGCGACGGTGGCCCGCGTTCCGTGGTGGCTTTACACAAGGCTGCGGCTATACACTGCGTATTCCGCCGCGTATTCCACATCGTTATCCGCGGCGTTTTCCGTAGAATTAAAAACGCTTTGGATTAAATCGGAGCAGCTATACACGACGGGCGTAATACGCCGCGTTTTTCGGGGCGGCAAAAAACGCCGTTCGGCTTGCGTTTTCCACCGCGGCGGAAAACGCGGCGTATTACGCCCGTCGTGTATAGCTGCTCCGATTTAAACCAATGCGTTTTTAATTCTACGGAAAACGATGCGGAATACGCGGCGTTCGAAACGCGGCGGAATACGCCGTGTATAGCCCCGGCCTAAGTTGTGCACGTATCTTTTAGCCATTGTTAATATAATAATATTGTTATTAAGTGATAAGTAGTTCCTATTTTAATATTTTAAATTTTAATGGTTACTTGGATTTTCGTACGTACTACGTACGACTGGATTTAGTAAAAATAGTAGCTATTTTATTTTATTTTATTTTCAAAAGAAGTTTAACTTCCCGCTCGCATACTGGTAACACACATACTTTTTTTTTTTATTTGCTTATAAAACATGATTGGGTGGTGTTATTAAAAAAAAATCACACTGTTGCAAAGATAATGTTTTTCTTTACGTGTTGTGAACATTTGGTAGGTCTACAACAAAATATGGTGCAAGAAAAATTGTCCCGCGCAAAACAGTTTTCGCTATTTTGCACATAATATTTTGTAAGACGGAGAAAACACGTGCGGGTGTGACGTCCTCTTAACATTTAAAATCATCAATATATTATGCAAAAAATTTAAAATAAACATGTCTTATTCTGATTAAAAAAAATACATGACATGTAGGTAGTAAAACGACCATCGCGTAGGTAGATTAGGAAAGCAATGCAATAAGTGCATCGAAGTCCCGGCCTACTCGTCAGTTATTTAATTGTTTTAATAATAAGTTATAGTTGTACAAGTTATTTCGAGGTATCGCGGGCTTCAACCACAGATATGATAATATAGGAAGTAATACATTATTATAATATAATTATATTTTTGTGGCGTCTGTTTTTTCTGTCACACGGGTGTTTATTTTATAACATCAACAGTGGGATTGCGTTACTACCGTCCGTCCATCGACGGGTGTGAGTATTTTCAGTTTCATTGTCGTGTTTTCGTTGCCGTCAGTAAAACATCTGCGGGCGCCGGGCGGCCGACGCGGCACGTACCGTACGAACACATTTTTGTACTCGAGTATTATTATTATTATTATGTGGCGGGTCTATAGGCTTTAAACTGGTCATGGTGGCGGGCCATCACCACATACCTAATATTATTTTCTCCACGTAGTCGGTAAGCAGTGTGAGGACGGTTGGTCATATTGGCTTGACGATGCCATAGAATATTCTATGCCGTCGGGCGTCGCATTGTTCAAGCCGACGACCCGCCACCCGCCACTGCTCGCTACACAGTCGTTCACTACTCTCAGTTTTTTTTTTAGTCTGTCGGTCTATCACGAGCGGTGAGTGTGTCGGTCGGTTACACAGTTTTTTAACTCGCCGTTTCGTAGACCATACACAGCTTGTCGCAAATTTTTTCGTATCAGGTTGGTAACCCAAAAAACACGTTAGTTGTGTCGTCGTTTTGTTAGAACACGACGACGCTGTTCCGCCAAAATCATCGAATAATATTATCAGTGAGCACTGCGTGAACACGTCTCACGGTTCGAGAGAACGCGGTAGGTTCGTTTCGAGCAGTCGGCGAAACGAGTACCGCTGACAATTATTGGACCGCGTGAACGTACAACCACAGGTAATAATATTATACAATATTATAATAATTAATAGACATCTGCCGCAGTACAACGACATATTCCGGGCGCCGCCGACGCGGCGATACGAGTATACGACACAACAACAAAAGCCGCAGCCGCCGCCGACGACGCAGCCGCCGCCGCCGCCGCCGCCGCAGCCGTCTCCCCTCCCCTCCACTCAGAACGTCAACTGACGCCGTATAATTTACGTGTACAACTGCTGCGTACTGGCAACTGTGCACTGCGGACCGGTCGGCCATTTTATTTCTCGCCTCTTGCTCGCCGGTACTGCTCTACTCGAGACGTTTGCGCATTGTGTTCTCCTCCAAACCACGATGTTCGTCGTTTTCTGTACGGTACGCCATCGGCCGGCGTAACATTAACAGGTAATAACAATTATGATTAGTGCAACGCGTTATAATGATATTATACTATAGTACTGTTTACCGTTCTCATCGATTTCGCGTATCCGGAAAACACTTGTCTGCGTGCCTTTTGTTTATTTTATCTGTTGTTGACGCTAGGTTACGTCTCCTCTCGACCGCGGCAACCCGGTAACGGCGAGTGCAGTACTTCGGTGTCGCCATGAAAGCCGGAGCTGTGGACACTGACCACGTCATCCAGGGCAAGGACAACGGCTGTTCGTCGTGCAGAGTATCCGGATCTGTTACTTTCTTGCTGGTTGCTGCTTATTTTTACTTCGGCTGCAAGCACGTGAAACCCGTGTATTACTTCGGAACCCCGAGTATGTATAAAACAATACATCAAATCACGGAATTATATACCTATTAATTAATTAGGTGTCCTTCCAAAGTTGGCGATTTTACGTTTGTATGCATATGACCAACACTGAATTGTACTGCTGCCAAAAATATCGATTTAAATTTTGTTACTTAAAATACCCGGGATCAAACACCCTATTGATAAATAACTCCCCTGGGGGGCCAAATGTTCTAACTTAAATTTGACGGTGACAACCTATTCATGAACTGGTTTTTTCTACTGGGAAATAACGTCTGTTTACCCAATACATCATACTATTTTGCATGTCGTTTGAACACTATTAAACGGTCTGTGGCAATATTGGTAATGCAAACCATTAATGTTTTCATACGTACTGCCTCCTGTGTTATTAGTTGTAATGTCTGAGGCTTATATTTATATTTTTTTTTTTTTTTTTAGGTATGATATCTTTAGCTGTGGCTAGAGCATTAGATTTGACACCTTTCAATGGTTAACATTTCAAAATCAGCCGAGTGGTCAGATTTTATATTATGGTAAAAGAAGTTTCACTATCAAGGTAAATTACATAATTAATTAATGTCTTATAAAAATTAGTGAGATTGTTATACCTATTGTAGTTTAATAATATTTTTATCAGGCTATTGCTTGGATTGTTAATACAACTGGTTTCATATTTATATGTCATGACGTTGATACAATTTCGATTTTGACAAGATGTTCCGTAATATGATTTTATAATTTTAATTTTTCTCTGTATGGATCTTTGATTGTTGGAAAGTGTTAATGATATTTACCTGTACGTTTTATATTAGATACCATATCCGATATGCGAAATTAGTGATGACAATAAGTAAGTAGGTACCGAGTAGGTACTTTGGTATACATTCATTAGATGTTATGTCCACAGTAGTTGGTGTCATTATGACAAATTAATTTTGAGAATTTTGTTTACTGTAGTATTTAGTTAAACCTTTCTACTATTTTCATCATGAGTTGATTTTTGACAAAGTAAATGACTATACCGTGTTAAAAATACATTAAACCAATACTTTTGAATCTGAAAAATTAATAACTTGTTGTAAGACATTTTTCATTTTATAACTAATATGGCATATAAAATAATATTTATAAAAACAGTGAAAGTTAAAACTTACTATACGATTGCCTAATGATGGCTACCCTGGTAATCGTAGGTGGGTACTAAACAATGTAGCTACAGTAACACCCACCTATGGAAATAATTTATTTGTAAAATCATTTACATGCATTCTAGACTTTCATGTAGGTATTAAAAAAATTCTGATTTGACAGTTAAGTTATTTAGATTTAAATAAGTGAGTATCAAATCTTAAGTAGGTATGAAAATAGTAACAATCACTCCGTGATGTACCTATATTGTATATGCTAACAGTATTTCAAATATTACCTGTCGACAAATTATGAAGCATTTTATTGAATGTTGTCAATGTTTGTCTGCTATAATCCTATTAGAGTGTTCTACTATCTCTTTCAATTTTCAATTAGTTATTGCATGATTTAATTTAATATGTTGATAATTGAAATGGTCCGGTTCTTTTGCAACACCAGATAACTCCATTTTGGAAAAAATGTTCAGGATGAAGATATAACACTTTCCTAATTTTGCATTGAAGATCGGATTAATCTGTCGGTATGTTTTAGTTGAGGAACTAACAATTAATAATTATATTATCTAAATATCAAAATCCTAGTTTTAAATTTTGTAACCGAAAATATTTTTCAAAGTTGAACTTAACATGGAGTTATCTGGTTCTTGATCAGAAAAGTGCTAAATTTCAAAACTTAAATATATAATTATTTTTTTTTCATGATAAAACAGTTTATTTTTAAACATATTTTTACAAAGATTTCTTTGATTACATATGAAGATTATAGTTTGTTAAAAAACAACAGATGGGTATGCATGGAAAAAAAAAAATTGTGTTTGGAAATATTATGTTCTTTTATTTTTTTATTTTTATATAAGTTTCATAATAACACCTTATTTAGAGCATAAACATTTAAAAAAACAACTTAAAATATATATTAGGTACCTTCCTAAAAGTTAATAATAAATAATAATATCCCAAATATTCATCTCGAATAGGCAAATCTTTACTGGAACAAAACAAAAGATTTATCTAATTAAAACCAATTTATTCTACAGGGCTGCAACTCTGTCACTTTTCTCACTTTTTGTCACTTTTTTTTGGTTTGGTTACTTTTTGTCACTATATTTCGAAAACTGTCACTTTTCTCACTTTTCTCACTTATAGCCATTTATTATAATGTTCATTGAAAGAAACCAAAAATAATTTTAATCAAGTAATTTTTAAAATTCTGTTAATTTAATTTTACCCTTACAATATTCGCCATTATATAATATATTGTATTGTACCATTATAGTCGTGTTACATCCGTGATTAAAATCTTTGATAATGGTGCGGCATAATGGTCTCTCATATTTTAAATTATCATTAGGAAGTAATTAAACTGATTAGATATTATATACAGGGTGCCCCGTGAGGATTTACCTATTAGCCGTAGAGGGGGACCGCTGCCCGGACAAAAACCGGTTTTTTGCCGTTTTTACTTATAATTAAAAAATTATTAAAATCAGGAAATTCACTGAAATTAAAATGTTGAAACATCAATATTTTCAGAAAAATAAACTCTACAAAATGGCAATCTTCAATATTTTTTTAAATAATTAATTAAAAAAATAATTTTTTTAACTTTTTACCAAAACATAAAAAAAAATAAAAAATTAGTTATTTGTAGTGCTTACCTCTGTGAGTCTTAATAAGAAAACAGAATTACGATATCTCTATTATTTCAGGAGAATCGCATGAGTAAATCCTCACGGGACACCCTGTATATTATATTTATGTTGTTTTATTAATTCATTCGATTTAGATATCAAAAGAGTTGTTGTTATTGTTCCTTTTTATTATTAAATTAATGGAGTATCTATATTGCAGTTATTACATATTTACATGGCAAATGCCTATTATATTATATTTATGTTGTTTTATTAATTCATAAGATATCAAATGAGTTGATATTATTATTATTAATATATAAAATAAAATGCAAGTGAGCAATATACTTTTGATAATTTATTAAAATAGTTTTTTACTAAGAAAAAGATAGTCACTTTTTATCACTTAAAAAAAATATAGTCACTTTTAGTCACCTAAAAAAAAAATTGATCACTTTTCTCACTTTTTTAGTTCATTATTTGAGTTGCAGCCCTGATTCTAGTACTATTAATTTGAATAATTATTGAAGTCTACCTTTTGTTTAAAATTATAATACATTTTTATAATCACTAATCGTTCAACTTAATAAATAAGGAATAATATCTTTTCATTCCTGAAAAATACATTTTTGTTATTACCATCATAATAAAATAATATTAAAGTTATTTATATTATGTACTTACCTAAAAGTTAATATTAATAATAATATAAGTATTATTAACCAACTATTCATCTTAAAAAGACAGATAATCTTTGTATTACATATTATAGTATACATGATTGGTATTTCATCATTCCTGAAACATAAAAATTATATTTATTTTTAAAAAAGGTGTACAAAAAATGAATATAATACATTTTAGTATATTATTGTTACCTTTTATTAGTGTATGTTGCTTATAGTTCATCATCTGAAGTTAAACGGTCCTCTATCATACTTCACTACTGGTTTTACTTGTTCCCCATTTCTAAATTTTTGACAAAATTCTGGTTCACATTTTTCTATGTACATTTTTCTATGTACATTTTACTAATATTTAATTTTGGAGATAAATATTTTCTTTCATTATTGTCCTGTCTACTGTAATGAGAACTGCGTTTGGGAAAACTTTGAATGTGGGTGTTAATTTGAAATAATATTAAATCTGAAACTCGATTTGGGCGAACAGTATGTTTACCATGCTTATCCCTAGGACTGGGATTGTTTTGTTTTAAATTATTACATATTCTGTCAATGACCGATTTACCTAAGCCAAATAAAGAGCAAAATGCTTTTTTACAAATAATATGTTCCTTATCACCAACACGTACCTTATAATAGCTAGAAAATGATCTTTTAGTACAATTTTCATTTTCAGATCTATGTCTTATAATACTTTTAATACAAATTAAGCCTCCCAAGAATATGTCTTGCTTTTCTTTATCTCCAATTTCATTAAAAGTATTAATGAGTGTAGTTTTCTCTTTATCTGAAAATTTTTCAAAACATTTCCATTTGCACATACAGTCAGGTCCAGTTTGTCTCTTTTTTATTGGTTTTTGCCTTAAACTAACACATGCAACACCCTTTGCTCATTCAGATTTTGCAATTTTTCTTACCCACAACTATGTATTTACTTTTCTCTTTTTTCCTCGGGTTCCTGAAGTTGGTTCTTCAGTATCTGAACTATTGACTACAACAACATAATTTTCTGGTTCTTGAGTACATATTTCGGACTCTGAATCACTTTCTAATAACTGTATACCGTCAAGAGAATTGTCACTAATATTTTGGTTAGGAATAAAATCTGGGTCTATAAAATCATCGTCAAAATCAGAAAATGATTCATTTAATGCTAACTCAATGTTATTTTCTTCCATAATTGCTTAGTTAAAATGTTCGCGTAGGTATAACACAATACAAATACTATATCATGTCTAACACGAATCACGATTTACATTTCACATTCCACGAGTCACCAATTTAACTTAAAAACATTAACATTAAATGTCTATCCCCGTTTCTTAGGTGATTTTTAACATCAGTGATAAAGATTTCATCAAAACAAACGCGATTATATCAGTGTGACTAGCTGGGCACAACAACCAGATAACTCCGGAGTTATCCGTTTGTTGTACCGAATTACAAAAAACGGATAACTCCATTTTATGCATTATCTCCGTATATAATAATCAAAGATATACTGTTGTTGCACCCATAGATAAAGAATTTTTTCATTGTTATTATTCAATCAAAAAGTCAATTTCCAAAAAAAGTGGAGTTATCCGGTTGTTGCACCGGACCCTTCAATTGTTCAATAGAAAATAGAAAATATTAATACGTTAGTAAATATTTATACTTTGTTAATTTTTCGATAATTTATTGTTATATACGTCATATCAATAATAGTTTTTATATTTTGTTGTGTTGGTATACACATAAAAAAAAAAACAGATAAAAATGTCTCCAATAGGATCGATAAAAGTAAAATACAATAGTATTCTAAAATTAACCTAAGTTAACTGCTTCTATTTGGTCATACGTCCAAAAAGCGTATGAATACATATTTTAAAACATGTGTTTAATCATGCTAAATAATAGTAAAACAACATTTGGCCACGCCTAGCTAGCGTAGCTAGTAATAAACAATTTACTTTTAATATATCAATGGCTTCGTGTCTAAACCTTGTAAGTCATTTTTATCATATTTTCATATCCAAAAAACATGTGTTGGGCTAAAATATTTCACAACTTTATTTATATTTTTTTTTTTGAGGGTTAACCTTTTCCCTGCCAAGCACTTTTAAATTATTCACCACTGACAGGCCAAGCTTTTTTTTTGGGGGGAATTTTCACCTTTTTTTTTATTCTATTTAATGAATTCCCTGAATTAATAATTATCAGCAAAAAAAAAAAAAAAAATTAATTAATTTCCTAATTAATTTTAAGTATTTTTTAATTGACCAGCCAGGGTTTCTCAACATTTATCGTTAATCCGGTAATTAATAACGCATATATTATAAATTGTAAAAATTAAGTATTTATTAAAAAAAAAAAAAAAATAGTCAACATTTTATTGTGTGGTAAATATTAAAACAAGGTGCTGCGCATAAGCCCACATCACATTCTGTACACATGTATCTAGTGTTAGTTCGCTTATTATTTTTCTTGCATAGTTGGCATCTTCTTCTGGCAAGCCTTCCAGATTGTGTTGCTGGAACTTCTGAGGGAAAATGCCTATCAATTAGTTTTGATGGTTGGTCCTTAGTCGGTGGTCTTGATTTTGGTACACGATCGGTTTGAAATTTTTCTATTATCTGTCTTATTAGTGCCATCTGAAACTGAGCTATTGGAATATGGTTTCCAGTAACTGTCTTGTATGATGAGTAAGCATTTAATAATGATAAATCTATCAAATGAAAAAATATCTTTTTGTACCATTTTATTGTTTTTCTTACACACTCCACACTACTAAGTAACATATCAGTCTTATCCACAGATCCCATATTTTCATTGTATTCTTTTACACATTTCGGTTTCATGGTTATTTTACCATGTTTTTGAATAGGCAATTGTCCATCTCCGTGTATTGTGGTAAGCATATGCACCTCATTCTGGTCCATCCATTTTATTGCCAACATTTTCCCAGTATGCTTACTTTCAGTTTGACCAGGTTTAAGTTTAGTTTTTTTGAATGGTGGCATTCCACAACGATTACATCTTACAGTACCACAAGTATTGGTTTTTTTATGTAAGTACATTGATAGTATTGGTGATGCATACCAGTTGTCAGTATACAGAGTATGACCTTTATTTAAATATTTTTCCATTAATGTTTTTACAACAGCACCTGATTGGCCTAAGTTAGGATCACACGAAACAAGACGTGTAGTTTTTCCAGTGTATATAAAAAAATCTAAAATATAGTCGGTTTCTACATCACACTAAATAAAAAATTTTATTCCAAACCGATGACGTTTGGTTCTTATGAATTGCTTGAATGAAAGTCTCCCTTTCCCGAATCCGCGCTCCAGTATATCTTATCTATCTCAGTGCCAATGATAAATAACTACTGGAAAATTGACATTGGTGTTATTAGATCTATTATCGCACACCATACACTTATGTATTTTTAAAACATGGTGTTATATATTATTATCAAAAATAAAGTTAATACTGTATAATATTAATTAATTAAATAAGTTAGGTACCTAATTAATAATAATATTGGTATTGAGAAATAAAAATTCTGACAATTCAGACAGTTATTTAGTAGCATTCAGATGCAACTGGAAAAACCTTGAAAGTCTACTTATGTGGTTTTACGCATGACTAAATAGATAAGTATGATCACATCGGTAAATTCACATCTGTTTTATAAAACTTCAGTTCTTGGTTGAACTTCCTACGCCACTGACCCGTCCTTGGGTCTTTAACCGGGCCACATATCTTTCGCCATATTTTGTTTTCAAAAGTCTTTAGTCGTCGTTCTGTAGTACTTGTAGTAGTCCATATTTCACAACCATATGTTAGTATCTGTCTTATGATTGATGTATATAGTCTTATTTTTGTTCGTTTTGAAAATAATTTAGATTTAAAAAACTTCAGCAAGGCGAAAAACGCTCTCTCTGCTTTTGTTATTCTCGACCCGATCTCATAGGACCAATCATTTTTAGTATTAAGTAATGTACCTAGATACTGAAATTGTTCGACTTTTTCATATGGTAACGTCTCTAAAACATCTAAAGATGTTTCCATGTCTAACAGTTCCATTAATTTTGTTTTGTCTGCGTTTATGTGTAGCCCTATTCTTTCTGCTGCGTGTTCTAATGCTTCAGTAGATTTCACTGTATTATCCAATGTTTCTCCTATGATATTAAGATCATCTGCAAAACCTAACACTTTTATATGATATTCATCCACGTTTATTCCTCTTGCTTCGTTTTGCAAGACTCGTACTGCCTTTTCTAGGGCTATGTTGAATAATAATGGGGATAGTGCGTCCCCCTGTTTTAGTCCCGTTTCAACATTAAACGCTTCTGACGTAGTACTTACTACTCTGACTTGGTACTTCACTCCTTCCATAGACAGTTTGGTTAGATTTATTAATTTTTTTGGGAAACCAAATTCTTCCATTATGTTGTACAGGCTATTTCTATGGATGTTGTCATAAGCTTTCCTAAAGTCAACAAACATTTGCCATATGTTTTGGCGATATTCATATTTCTTCTCTATTAAACGCGCTACTACTGATAGCTGCTCTATGGTTGACCTCCCTTTGCGAAAACCACTTTGGTACTCTCCTAAACATTCTTCTGCATACGGTGTCAAACGGTTTAATAGGATTTTGGAGAAAACTTTGTACACTGAATTTAGAAGAGATATCCTTCTATAGTTGCTACATTCAGTTTTATCACAGTTTTATCATAATATTTACTTGTGGAATTGAATACTTCCACCTTTAATGCGCCTGTAAGTACATCCAAAGGCTGAACACGAGAAAACCATATTGAAGATACAATACTAAATTGTTACAAATTACAAACTATTAAACTAACGATGAGGCTTGAGGTTATAATTTACTTATATAGGTAGACATTATCTAAACATCCCAGCAATTATGAACAAAAATAAATCATTATTTACAATTCCATCGTATTTTCCTATGTACAAATGAAATGATTTGCCCTTCGATGGTGGGGGTAACGTCAAACGCGATGGCTCGTTTTTACGGCCGAATCCGCGCTCCAGTATATCTTATCTATCTCAGTGCCAATGATAAATAACTACTGGAAAATTTACATTAGTGTTATTAGATCTATTATCGCACACCATACACTTATGTATTTTTAAAACATGGTGTTATATATTATTATCAAAAATAAAGTTAATACTGTATAATATTAATTAATTAAATAAGTTAGGTACCTAATTAATAATAATATTGGTATTGAGAAATAAAAATTCTGACAATTCAGACAGTTATTTAGTAGCATTCAGATGCAACTGGAAAAACCTTGAAAGTCTACTTATGTGGTTTTACGCATGACTAAATAGATAAGTATGATCACATCGGTACTTGTTCTCATCCATTCACACCACGCCTACTGTAGTTCTAGTTATTTCATTGGTCTAATAATTTTGGCTCCAAAAATGTTATAATATATAAATATTACATGATACTGTGTTGATACCATCACTTAAGTAGTTATTAAATCATTAATTCAAAACTAATAAGTCATACGATTATAAGAAAGTGTAGTAGGAGGAAAAATACGTGGTCAAGGAAGGTAATAGTTTCTTTTATTAGTGAGATAGGTTTCTATTTTGAATCCGACATAATGAAGCTACAAGTAAAATACGACGGATAAGTTGGGTTGACAACACGTGTCAATTGGTGAAGGGACGCAGCGGGCGGGACCGGTCACTTGTTTTTTTCTGATAAATGACGGTCCAATGAATTTATTTATTAAAAACCTATTAAATATGCATGCTTGAATGAAAGTCTCCCTTTCCATAGGACCAAACTCTCATCTATAACAAGATTTTGAAATGGCACCATAGCAGTTCTGAAATTATTCTTTATGTCTTGTAATACCATATCTTCTTCTTCTTCTTCTTCTTCTGGCTTTTATAACTCTCCAAGAGTTTCCGCCGCCATCACCAAATCACTCCACTTATCACGTTCCTGCACAATCTCCCTCCAATCCTGCACTCCAAGATCTTCCAAATCCTTTTCTACAACATCCAACCATCTCTTCCGAGGACGACCCCGTGGCCTTTTTCCTTCTGGTTTCCAATTCAGTACCATTTTGGTTACTGCATCAGAATTCCGCCTCATGACATGTCCTAGCCATTGTATCCTTTGTCTCTTTATGAAACCATTTATTGATACTATTTTTAATTCCTCCTTCAGTTCTTGGTTGAACTTCCTACGCCACTGACCCGTCCTTGGGTCTTTAACCGGGCCACATATCTTTCGCCATATTTTGTTTTCAAAAGTCTTTAGTCGTCGTTCTGTAGTACTTGTAGTAGTCCATATTTCACAACCATATGTTAGTATCTGTCTTATGATTGATGTATATAGTCTTATTTTTGTTCGTTTTGAAAATAATTTAGATTTAAAAAACTTCAGCAAGGCGAAAAACGCTCTCTGCTTTTGTTATTCTCGACCCGATCTCATAGGACCAATCATTTTTAGTATTAAGTAATGTACCTAGATACTGAAATTGTTCGACTTTTTCATATGGTAACGTCTCTAAAACATCTAAAGATGTTTCCATGTCTAACAGTTCCATTAATTTTGTTTTGTCTGCGTTTATGTGTAGCCCTATTCTTTCTGCTGCGTGTTCTAATGCTTCAGTAGATTTCACTGTATCATCCAATGTTTCTCCTATGATATTAAGATCATCTGCAAAACCTAACACTTTTATATGATATTCATCCACGTTTATTCCTCTTGCTTCGTTTTGCAAGACTCGTACTGCCTTTTCTAGGGCTATGTTGAATAATAATGGGGATAGTGCGTCCCCCTGTTTTAGTCCCGTTTCAACATTAAACGCTTCTGACGTAGTACTTACTACTCTGACTTGGTACTTCACTCCTTCCATAGACAGTTTGGTTAGATTTATTAATTTTTTTGGGAAACCAAATTCTTCCATTATGTTGTACAGGCTATTTCTATGGATGTTGTCATAAGCTTTCCTAAAGTCAACAAACATTTGCCATATGTTTTGGCGATATTCATATTTCTTCTCTATTAAACGCGCTACTACTGATAGCTGCTCTATGGTTGACCTCCCTTTGCGAAAACCACTTTGGTACTCTCCTAAACATTCTTCTGCATACGGTGTCAAACGGTTTAATAGGATTTTGGAGAAAACTTTGTACACTGAATTTAGAAGAGATATCCCTCTATAGTTGCTACATTCAGTTTTATCACAGTTTTATCATAATATTTACTTGTGGAATTGAATACTTCCACCTTTAATGCGCCTGTAAGTACATCCAAAGGCTGAACACGAGAAAACCATATTGAAGATACAATACTAAATTGTTACAAATTACAAACTATTAAACTAACGATGAGGCTTGAGGTTATAATTTACTTATATAGGTAGACATTATCTAAACATCCCAGCAATTATGAACAAAAATAAATCATTATTTACAATTCCATCGTATTTTCCTATGTACAAATGAAATGATTTGCCCTTCGATGGTGGGGGTAACGTCAAACGCGATGGCTCGTTTTTACGGCCGAATCCGCGCTCCAGTATATCTTATCTATCTCAGTGCCAATGATAAATAACTACTGGAAAATTTACATTAGTGTTATTAGATCTATTATCGCACACCATACACTTATGTATTTTTAAAACATGGTGTTATATATTATTATCAAAAATAAAGTTAATACTGTATAATATTAATTAATTAAATAAGTTAGGTACCTAATTAATAATAATATTGGTATTGAGAAATAAAAATTCTGACAATTCAGACAGTTATTTAGTAGCATTCAGATGCAACTGGAAAAACCTTGAAAGTCTACTTATGTGGTTTTACGCATGACTAAATAGATAAGTATGATCACATCGGTACTTGTTCTCATCCATTCACACCACGCCTACTGTAGTTCTAGTTATTTCATTGGTCTAATAATTTTGGCTCCAAAAATGTTATAATATATAAATATTACATGATACTGTGTTGATACCATCACTTAAGTAGTTATTAAATCATTAATTCAAAACTAATAAGTCATACGATTATAAGAAAGTGTAGTAGGAGGAAAAATACGTGGTCAAGGAAGGTAATAGTTTCTTTT